CTGCACCACAACCCTGTGGAAAGAAGCAGAGATAGATAGATGATACACACACACATATTTTTTTTATAGTAATAACAATACTTATCATTATACTGATACTAGTAATAATCATCATAATCATCATCATAATAATAACAATACTAATAAATCAATAAATACATGAATGGATAGGTACATTAATTTGGTCATTTATTGGTTTATTTATTTATCTATTCATTTATACGGACATATTTTTATCTGCATGTATGCAAGTACGTCTATGTGTGCGTGTGCGTTCGTGGTTTCGTATGTGTATGTATATATATATATATACGTATGGTAGGTATGTATGTATGTATGTATGGATGGATGGATGGATGGATGGATCGATGGATGTATGTTACATTGTTGCATATTACATGCACATGTTACATAGAACCTTTTACAAATTACATGTTCGATATGAGGTATTACTTAGATGTAACATATTACATTTTGAATGTCAGACATTGCATATCTCCAGCAACAGTGCGGGAACCGTATGGGGTTCTTGGGTTAGAGTAACAAGAGTGTTGATTGAGCCGTGTGCCCGGCGCGCCTCAAGAAGCAGGTCTCCGCATCCTGTTATTTGCACCGGATCGCGTCTCCCGCTGTGGTGCGGTGCAAGTTTTCACTGGGGTCCTACCTGAGCGCACGATCTATCAAAGAGCTGCGCGTGCATTATCAAGAGCATGCGCGGGAATTATCATTCACATGTGCAGGTTTTGTTTAGGGTTTAGCGTATAGGGTTTAGGGAATCCGTCGCATGTGTCGGAGTAATCTTTTCTTTTCCTTGTGCCTGAAAAGCCGCCCCGCCTTGTTCCTTGCGCCTGATATATAGATCTGGCAAACGGAAAGAGCGTGTACAGCGAATGTGAGTTGGACAGTTTGGAGAAAAAGTTGGCCCGGAGATGTGCTGCCAGAGCCAATCAGAAACTTCAGACCCGATGCCCCAACCGAAACCATGAACCCTCGAATGTTATAGTTATAGGATCCTTAAAGCATGCGTATCAAGGACCCTGTACAGTAAGGGACGGGACGCCCAGAGCCGACAGGCGCAAGCGCGGTCTGAACTCGGAGTTGGCGAACGGCCGCCTCGCAATGATGGTGCCCGCAACCTCTCTCCTTCAGGGTATTGGCGGCTTTCACCCTGACCCAGGGAGGGTTTTGTAGTTTTTGGTTTGAAAAGGGGATGGAGCTTTAGGTTTCGAGGGCTTTTGGCCCCTGGCTTTAGCAGGCTTTGGCATTCATCAGGGTTGTTAGAGATAGTTTGCCAGGCTTCGAGATTGGTTTTGAGATTTTGGATGGCTCGAGCGTCAGGGTGCCTTCGAGTGCTACGGGCTAGTTTTGGGAAGAAGCTTTTCAGGTGAGAGATGTTCTGGAGTGCACCGGTGGGCCTGGGACTTTGAGCATCGTAGTCCTCATCAGGGTACTGCGAGTGGTAGCAACCACTGGGCAAGACGGGACTCGTGGTTGCAGACTCAAGATTCGGTCAGGATTTTCGGTGTCATCTCGTGAACCTGAAGCCCTACACCACCTATGAGCCGGGTTTTTCGTTGCTTGAACTATCACGTTCTGTTGGTCAACTCGTCACTAAAAGGAGGGCTTCCACCAGCAGCTGAACATACGGGGTAAAGGCGTATCTTGGCAAACTGCGGAACCATGATACCCCTCTGGACTGATTTCCAAAGAGACCCTTGAAACCTCGATTGGATGCCTGCAGGCGATCGTGGGGCTCTGGGTCCAGGCCGCTTCTGTGTTTCAGGTGTACAGCGTTCCGGCATTTACGTTTCTCGGGGTCGAAGTTGTCGTTGGGGAATGTCGTAAGGGTTCAAGCTGTCTTGCGATTCCGTTTCGACCCTCAAGACCAAGCCCTCTGCCCCGAACCGGAGCCCGAACCGGCGCAGATGTGCGGGTTCCATTCGTACTGTGGCCTAGGCATGTGCAAGGTTTTGCCTTTGGCAGCAATGAGCTGATCTTGGTTTCAGTATTCAGTGTGGCAGAGGTTGAGGAAGTCGCGTTGCTGGTGTTGTCGCGGCCACTGCTGCTGCTTCTGCTGCTGACACTGATGATAGTGGTGGTGCGTAAGATTACTGTGTGATGACTACGATGATGCTGAACCCCACTCGGCTTAGGAAAAAAAAGTGTGTGGATGCCGAGCATGAAGATGTCATACTGCGATGGTGTCTGCAGAGACAGAAGTGCAGTCGCAATCCGCCAGAGTAGCAGATCCAAGACACGAGGAACGACGACTCGAAGCCCTGCACCTCAAGCCCCTTGAGCCCCACAACCCCAAGGGTTTAGGAGCCTTGGCTTCTGCCAACAAGGACGGTCTCTTCGGCACCCCTTACGGCCTCTACACCGCCCGGGCCCCTCGGGCAAGTGCTGCCCAAGGGAGAAGAGTTTTCTAGTGGTTTCAGCAGCAGCAGCAGCAGCAGCAGCAGTCATGGTGGTGGTGGGAGCAGGAGGACACCAGCAGCACGAGGAGGAGCAGTCATGAGCAGTCGTCGTTGCAGGAGTAGTAGTAGTAGTCGTCGTAGTGGTGGTGGTAATGGTAGTGGTAGTGGTGGTAGTGGTAGTGGCAGTGGCAGTTGTAGCAGCAGCTTCGAGCACGGGAGTCAAAGTTCAGACACCACCCATCTTGATTCCGGCACAGTTAAGGCGGGCAACAGACAGGAACCTAACGTGGACAGCTTAACTTGCAAAGATGGTGGCTATGAAATCTTCATCAGGATAGGCTGCAGCAGATTCAGCAGAAGCTTGAAACTGTCTCTCGTGCTTGCCCGTGAGAGATGCCAAGGGCTCCTCAGCCTTCGAGAACGAGTTGGGCGTCCAGGCACGGATGTCGCAGCGCGCCACACGGCCCCCCTTCGTTTGGCCAAACTCAGTAGATGCTTTTCTTGCAGGGCACAGTGTCGAAGGAGAAGGGCTTTGTCTGTGACATCAGCTAGGAAGGGGACGTGAATTTTTCGGGATCGTTCATTCAGTCTGGATTGGTAGAGATGTCGGACCCGAAGTTGTCCTGGAGTGGGCCGATGCACCCTAGAAATGTGCTGATCCCAGCGGAGCTTCGGTGGCAGCGAAGATCTCGGCACAGCCTAAGGGCCTAAGGGCTGGTTTGTGTATGAGGCCGTCAAGCATCTCGCTCTGCGACTTTCGGCCTCTTTTGTAATTTGTCGACCCCAGCTGCAACGAGACTCCCTTCATCCGCCAGGCTCCTCTGGGATACTTCGATCCCCTGGGCCTCTCAAAGGACTTTGGGCTGCGTTTGTGGGCAGGGGGCAGTCTTGTTAAGTTACCATGGCCATTGGGCCATTTGAGGTCGACGCGACCTGTCTTGGATTACGGTCACCCCTACGACTTTGATGTGTCCCCCTTCAGGACGGTGATGTCGAGACCTTCCGCCGCCGTCGTGAGGCAGCTTTTGATATCTTCCGCTCAGGTCCAGGATCTTTAGTTTCGGGTTTGGGGGTCCAGGCTGCTCTTTCGCCACAAGGAGTTTACAGTAGGAGAACTTGTTGAGGGCTTCCAGCTGGAAATGTATGATTTGCAGGGTTGATGGATTGTCAGGCAAGGCTCTGTTCCTATCCCAGCACCAAGGTCTTGAGAGTGGACCCTCACCTACCAGTTTGCAGAATGGCGGCTTGCGCACGCCAAGCCCCACCCTGGAACCATCAATCCTCGAATCTCCATCTCTCAATCTGTTTACACCCACCTGCTGCCTTTGCACAGTCGGAGATCAAGAACGGCCGCGTGGCCATGCGCGGAACCTGGCAGATTTGACTTCTCTTTCCTTGAAGTAGGCCGCGAACCGAAACCCGGAACCTACACCCGCACGCTTTGTCCGTAGCCGCAAACACTCAGCCCCGGAAACCAGCAAGCGGAACCACTGAACCACAAATCCGCTCTGGCCGTGGCAACGAAGGCAAGCCTGCCGAGGCAACCGTGTATCAGCTTGCTTGGGTTGGAGTTTCTTAACCAAAATCTTGATATCGGATGGTGCGGCAGCAAAGCCTGCCATCTGGCTTCGCTTCCGCATGCATGTGCAGGGCCATTCGCTGCACACCCTGTGTTGAGGCAAAGTGTTCAACATTCTTGCGATAGGGTCGCACGCCGTGTATGGGACTCGGGCCGAACATGGGAGGCCCAATTCGCAACCTTCGTCAAGAACTATTCCAAAGGTCTCGGTGATGTTGATGTTTTCAAGGTGAAGATCCCGAGGTCAGGAAGTCCCTCCTACAACGCACGTCGCACGGACAAGATCATAGATTCCTGAACCGACTCGCTGAGGTTTGCGACGATGGGCTACATGGTGCCTGAGTACTTCAAATTGCTGTGGCCCCAGGATTGGACGACCGGAACATGAGGCTTTTGGTCGAAGTTGTATGGGAGTCATTCAGTATCTGTTTTGGGATGCGAGACAAGCCAAGAGTCATCATGTCAGCCAGGTTTTTCAACATGATGCCCTACACTACACTACAAGCAGTTGCAAGCGCTGCACACCCGCGTTTTTGTGGTGTGGGTGTGGGCGTGTACGTGTATGTGCGTGTGCATGTTTGTGTGTGTAAATATATATATATATATATGTGTGTGTGTGTGTGTTTGCAAGTGTAGGCGTAGGTGTAGGTGTAGGCAGTGTGTAGGCGCAGGTGTAGGTGTAGGCGTAGGCGTAGGTGTATGTGTAGGTGTATGTAATGCAACATAATGTATTGTATGTAAGTAAGTAAGTATGTATGCATGTCTGTGTGCATGTATATATATATATAGATATGTGTGTGTGTGTGTGTCCATGAATGCACGGCGTGTATGTCTGGATGTGTGTGTGTGTGTGTATGTGTGCATTGATGTTTGTGTGTGTGTAGGCAGGTGTTTATTCAGGTTTTTATGGGAGGCATGTAAGTATGTATGTAGGTAGGTATGTGTATATGTATATATATATATATATGTATATATATGTATATATATATATATATATGTGTGTGTGTGTGTACAGAATGGTTTCCTTATCTCTATACACTACAGGCAGCAAGAGAAGATGGCATGTGTCACGTAGAAATACTGTAGACGAAGATCTCAAGCTAGAAGTCATGGCCGAAGACTACGCCAACCCCTCTGTCCGAGTCCGGGCTACCTTGCGCCGTCCGCCAACCTCAAGTTTGCTGACGTGCCCAATGGCGCTCCTGCCAGTACTTGCCGAACGCTCGCTTGTCGCGCGTGATGGGGGTGCTTATAATGATGTTGTTGGTCGTACTTGAAGGGCGAGGCAAAGACGATGAGCATCAAGACGCTCATGGTGCTGCTGCTGATGATGACGACGATGACGATTACGATGATGGTGGTAGTGATAGTCATGGTGATAATGATGATGATGATGATGGTGGTAGTGATAGTCATGGTGATGATGATGATGATGATGATGATGAGAGTGGTGATGATGTTTTTGTTCCTCTTCTTGTTGTTGTTGTTGATGATGATGAGAACCTTCATGTTGTTGTTCCTTTCGTTGTTGTTGTTGTTGTTGCTGTTGCTGCTGATGATGATGATGATGATGAGGGCGATCACGTCTTTCGTGCTCGCGGGGTGTCAGAGTTCATGACATTCATGTGCAAGTGCATGGTGCTGTGAAGTCGACATTGAAGCGACAAGTGGCCCCAGCAGCCATAGCGGCATGGAGCACATCTGAACGTAAGTTCGAGCATCGTCCTCTCGAATAAGCACGCTACCCTGCGCTCTGCACAGTCCTGGAACCCTTCTGCGACTAATGCCAATCCTCTTAGGAGACCTTTGGAGCCGGAATGCTGGAAGCCTTAAGCGAGTGACATCGCCAGGCCTGGCAGCCATCACCAAGGTCCCTGCCGAGGGCTGGCTGCAGTGGGTGGCTCTGCCGGGCTCTGAGCTCGTGTCAGGGAGTGCGCAGATGGCCAAGGGAGGGGGGAGGTTTGCTTTCAGCCGCGATTCTACGCAGCGCTGTGACAGAAGATGCTAGATGTCTTCATTCGCAGGGCCCGCCCTTGATGAGCGAGTCTGCGGTTTAGGAAGCTCCAGCGCACCTTTTCGAGACTCACAGAAGCATCCGGTGTACAAAAATCAGCATCAGCACCTTCCTTTCGTAAGCCAGTGATTTGTTTATAAACCGAAAAACTCTAAAGTGTGGACGCAGGAGAGTAGCACGGAGGGCACGGGATGACGAGGGTTGTGGAACTCTGTGCGAGGAATTTTTGGGTCGTAAGCTGTCCCTGAGTCCGGAACCTCAGCCAGCATGACTTTCTGCCTACAGATAACTCAAACTCCCGCGGTTGCAAAAGAGGTGTTTAAAGAAAGCGCATGGAGCCAGGTGCGGCTGCTACGAGTGGGTCGTCAACGAGCCTGTGGACTGGGGGAGGGCACGAGAAAGGTTCGAGGGTTCCTAGTCCCTCAAGGCATGAGAAACATCTGCAGTGCGCTCTGCATTTATGGCTTGAGTGAGGCATAATTCACGGCTTGAGGTGGTGCGACGTTTTTGAGTAGTGGCGATGTGCCACCTGACTGTAACTCAGTAGCTGAAGAAGGAAAGTTGTCAGATACATCTAGAGGCTTTGGTTTTGTCTAGGGGAGATTTCGATGACCCGACCAAGAACACTTTTTTCTCCAGGCGTGCAGCGGCTCCGGGACACTCTTAAGGCTCTCCTTCCCATCGCAGAGCCGGTGCCATTCTTCTCGGCTCTGCTCAGCTCCGCCTTCAGGACCCCGCGGAGCCTGGAAACTACGGCAAGGGCAAGCTGGAGCCTCGGAGCTGTCGCGAAGGGTTGAGTCGAGAGAGTTTTACGCAGTGGTTCTGGGTCCTGGGTGGAACAGCATCAGTCTGCTCGGTGTGCTTGCTTTCATAAAGGATTCGGGAAGGTCGGGTTGCTTCAATTCCAGGAAGGTCTCTACAAGACATGTTTGTTGAGCCTGGTAAGCTCTTAACTTGTCCTCGAAGCTTGAGGTGCCCGGAGCCTTAGAGTGCTCATGGTAGTTCTGAGCGCAGTGGACAGGCTCGGATACGGCAACATGGTGCTGGGAATCACCGCCGAGAGCATTAGCGATCCCGAGTCGCAAGGGCCCTGGAGGGTTTTCAATGTTTCTTGCTAATACCCTTTCAGAGCAAGTTTGCCCGCCACCTGGGCCTCCAGGGGCCAATTAAGGCCAGTTTGGGCATGCAGATCACCCTTGTAGCTGACAGGGGTCGGAATTCCGAGGCGCAAGCGAGGGCTGAACTCGGAGCTTGCCAACGGCCGACTGGCGATGATGGCCACGAGACCTGTTTGTGTGTTTTGGGTTCAAGGTGAGGATGCCCAAAGGCTCAGGGCTGCTCAGGAGCTTTGCAAGTTCGGGATTCAGAACTGGAAGACTCCTGCTTTGCATCTCTGAGGTCTCCTGCGGTATAGTACCCAGTATAGTGTAGGGCTCGCACGGTTGAAGGCGTTGGAGTGGTGGCAGGGTCGGGAGTTGGGGTTCTTTCTTGCAGAGTTTCCTCTTGTTCCTGGTTCCAATCTCTATAGCTGAGGGCTTTGAGGAGCCGAAGAACGAGACTTCTTGTGTTGTGTTTTGGGGGCTTCGTTCGAGGAAGGCCTTGGAACTCAAGCTCTTCCGATGATGGGAGTTAAGGCACTGCGCGAGACCTGCAGATACTTCCTCCATTCTCCAAGATGCAACAACTCTTGCTCCTCTGCCAGGCTATCGTGGGTCTGTGGGTGCAGGCCGGCATGCACACGAGTCAGCATGAAAGTGGATGTATGGCCTTTTTTGGGAATGAAGCTTTCGGGCGTTGCAAGACTGCGCTCTCCTTGCAGGACGGTCTCTTCGGCACGCCTTATGGCCTCTACCAGGTGCTGCTCTTGGGGGGTTTGAGCGCGGCTCCTCCCACTACCGCGACTGCTACGACGACTGCTGCCACCACCGCCACCGCCACCGCCGCCACCGCCACCACCACAGCTTTCCCAGCTCGGCTACTGTCTTTTCAGCTTTGTCCACATCGAACGCGAGATGCCATGCATTGATAGCCATGCTCGCAGTGCCATTTAGAGTTTATCGGAAGGTCGAGCTTACGGCCAACTGGAACAGTCGGACGGACCTGGTCGGATCTGTAAGGAGCAAGACATGTCGCTCGCAACCCCTAGGCCCCCTAAACCCTAAACCCTAAACCCTAATCTCCCTAATCTCCCTAATCTATTCCTAGCTTCCATGTTCCCCTGCTGCTGCTGGGAGTGTCAGCTTCTCCGGACGTGGCTCTCGGTTTTGGGCCCCGGAAAGCTACGCAGGGGCGTTAAGAATTGGAATAGGGGTCTTGGGGTATATTATATTATATTATATTATATAATACTATATCATATCATATTATACTATATTATACTATATTCTACTATATTCTACTATATTCTACTATATTCTACTATATTCTATTATATTATACTATAGCTATAAAAAGGAACCCCCAAAAAGGTATGCCAAGACCTTGCACCCGAGAACCCTTGGGTTTTGCTAGGGATCGAGCGCCTTTGAGACGGAGCTTGGCGTGCAGGCTTTGACCGCGGTGGAGGAGTTTCGTTCATTTGGGGCTTCGAGGGCCATACCTTTTCTCAGGCTTCGGTTTCCGGGCTTGGCTGGGTCTAGATGAATGAAACTTGCGACTTAAAGCTAGATTTGTAATGGCCGTCCTGGTTGTGCCATGCATCATCAGTTTCATACATCGAATCCGTCAGCTCCTGTTCTCTGCTGGCATCCTTTGGTGGCAACCATAGCCAACATGCCACTTGTGATGTTTGTGGAACCATCACCGCCGTCGTTGTGGGAACAGCAGTCAACTGATGCTGTCAACATTACCCAGCGTCCTTCACCAGCATCGTCGGCAACTCCGGCATCATAATCATCGTCAGCGCTGCCATCATATCGTGATGAAGAGGATGACGAAGATGATGATGACGATGACGATAATCCTTATCATCATCACCTTTCGCAGCGAGAAGGTCTCTCGTCTAGCACAACACCTTCGTTACGTCTTTGGTGCAACGACTGTTCGGTGACAGCTAGGCACTCATGCTCAAGTTACTGAGCAATCTGGAAACATCGCACCGCAGTGCCTTCGTCATATGTTCCCGAGGATTGTTTCAAGACTTCACGTCAATCGTCCATCGCATCAAGATGAATACGAGATTGATGTGGAAGACACTTGCTTCTGCAACTGGTCTTACGGTGTCCATCACGCGAATCCTGTGAAGCAACTCCAGATGAGCATTTTGCATTCTCGTCACGTCCTCTGTCAGCATGCAAGTCTGTAGTTTAGATGGAGCTGTCGGTACGATCCCCCTGAAATAGACTGGAAGTGGCTGCTGAACATGCCAGTAAGACACCGCATACATTGTGTTGCAGAAACATGTGCAGAAACATGTGCATGCTAACATGTGCATGCTGGCCGTGACCAGACTCGGATCTTGTTCGTCGTCCAGCTGTCAACAGCTGGACTCATCAGTCAAGTAACGTCCTGAAATAGGTGATCGGCCACGTTGTTGTATGTAACCGCGAATGTGGTAAACATGCCAGCTGACCTGCTTGGTTTTCCCCCTGCCACGAAGACCGGAGCCTCAACAGTGTCAGCATGCGGAACATCGTCGTCATCGTCATCATCATCACCATCATAATAAATAATACTAATAATCATAATTATCACGACCAACCATCATCATCATCATCATCATCATCATCATCAGGCTCGTGGTCATCGCCTTCATCCCCATCTGCATCACATCGTTACCAGCATCATCAGTATCGTCAGCGTCCAAACTCGTGCCAGCCTCCTGCTGGATTTTGGGATCCTCTCGGCTTCACGAAAGGCAGGGAAAGAGGGTGGGGGTGGGGTGGGCGGGTAGTACGCATTGTTTTGGTGTTGGAAGTTTTTCTGCGAGGAACTTCCTCGACGGGGAGCACGGCATAGCTTGCATCTGTAATCTAAGATCCGTGTCAGCAGCTTAGCATGCTGCAGGAAAGTTGTACAATGCTGCAGCTTTTGACCAACACTAGAATGACTAGAACGTGACACCAACACGTGCCTGTGTCAAATTGCGGGGCCTGGCTCTGGCTCGCAATCTGAAGAGTCGTGAGACCAGACTGTTGCAGGCGGTGATGCTGCATCCTTCCGCCGCCGCCGCTATGTGGAGCTGAAGCCTTGTGCTCAGCGTTCAGGGTGGCCGGGCGGGTTCCTTGCGTCAAGAGATGCGGTGAAGTCCTAGAGCCTGTAAGCAAGGCCTTGGGCTTCAGGGACGCCTGGTTACAGTGTAGTTCAGTCGACGATGCCTTAGGAAGTCTTCGCAGTTGGTTTGTGTGCTGCGACCTCGTCGGGTGTGCAGGATCTCGGAGTTGAACAAGATTCGACTTTCAGGGCACATGTCCAGAGCGCCCTTTTGGCAATCACCATTTGCGTCATCAGCAGTCCCACCATCGTCGTCATCGGACCCACTGGCCCACGACATTAGTGACCATGACACCTGAAGAATGACGTCAAAAATCTTGATGTAACCAGAGTCTGTGAACCTGTGAGAGGCACGGCCGTGTGGCGATGCTGGCTTGTCAGCGTCCTCAGCGCAGGTTGATGAGGTAGTGCGGGCGTTGTGGGTGTAGAGTTGTTGAGATGTCGCATTTAGGTTGGTGCTCAGATCTTCAGATTGAGCCGACCATGGCAAGCAAGACTGTGTTGAGAGCCCTCGAGTACAGGCATTGAATCCTGCACGTCCATGATGATGATGGTCATGACAATGATACTGATGGTGATGGTGCTTGTATTTACGAGACGAACGACAGCATGAAGACGTTGCGTGTGGGTTTGGCCTTGAGATGTCCCAACACTTGGAGCAGACGAAGATTCTCAGACCTGGATTTGGAGGGCTTGTAGGTTAAATGGCTCCGCGACTTGACGGCCTGTCGCAGAGGATTTGTTGAAACCACTCCCCAGATCCATGTTCAGCTCTCATCTCTTAGGCATGGGATACATCGTGCCGGAGTACTACCGCTGGCCCGGTGATCTCTCGTCTGCGTCTCTGGGTTCCTGAGTTCTGAGGTGTACAGGTAGGGATGCGTATTCTGTTTGGATTTCTGGGGGTTGGAGGTCTAGCTTGGAGAGTTGCTTCTGCAACGTGTCGGTTGTAAGTTAAACCCCTTCAGCCGAAGCTACGCCAGATATTCTGTGTCGATTCCGGTCCTGCAAACTTCCCTGAGTGAGATAGGCCCCGGCCTTTCCCTGCTGCCGTGAAAATTAAGTCTGATGTACCGAAACAACACTGTCAACCATCAAGCTGGGCTGCAGGCTACCTGTCAGTTTCGTGCCATGTCCGAGGCCGTCCCTGGGCCTGAAGTTCACGGACGTCCCCACCGGCTTCGCTGCCTTCAGCAAGGCGAGTGCAGGGTTTGGTCCGGCTGGGTTCAGGGTTTGCGTTTCGGTGGCGCTGCTGGACTAGTTGATGGACGCGCCCAGACTTGGTCCTGGTTGTGGAGGGTTTTGCTAGCTCAGACATGATTTTGGAGACCGGAAGTATCGCAGGTGCCGCTTTCTGGCTGGGCCGCCGCCTCGGAGTATGTGAAACCCAGCTCTAGTCGCTTGTGTGACTCTCTTCGACCGGGGAAATGTTGGTCAATGACAGACTCATGGAATGTAAAGTTGTGGAAAGCCGTTGCTGTCCAAGCGGGCAACGTCCTTGCTCATGCTCCAACGAGCCCGGATGCAAAGATCTTGCTTGAGCCAGCTTCAAAGCCTACAGTCTTGTACTGGTGAAGGGACAAGGTGCAACGTACCGACTGAGTTGGGATTGCCGCAGGTCCTGGGCTCCCAATACCGGCCAGCCTGCAACCCGCGGATGCTCAGGCACAGATGGTGGCCTTCGCCGGATCCGTCGAGCTCTTCCAGTACGTCGATGCAACTCGGCTGGGCTTTTCGCATAAGGATGCTTTGGGCATGCGGCGTCGTTCCTGAACGTTCGTGGTGCTTTTGGCCTCGACTCAGCCAGTAGGCTTGCCGCTTGCCGACTGCCTACACCTTCCAAGTCGAGACCAAACTGCTCATCTCACCTGTGAGACTGTCTCCATCAGACTTGTTGAACTGCGCCAATTCGTGTGGACAAGATGCAGATAAACATGTGCCAGATCTCGTGCTCCAGGAGACGTATTCATATCGCATGACGAGCCCTTTATTTCCCGAAGCGACGCGCACGACCGTCTTCCGCGTCTCATACATAAATCCGTCTTGAAGGCTTGCTTGAAGGTAGGGGTGCCTTCTTTAGGGGATCTTGCAGGACGGGTATGGAAGGGTCCGGCACAGTCTTGCAGACCCAAAGCCCATGTCGTTGAGTCAAGCTGGCATTGCAGGATCCCAAGCGTGCCCCGGGCGACTTCGAGAACGCAGGGGAGCCCAAACCTTGTTGGACGCTGTTTTGCGGCCCTATGCAGCGGTCCAGGACCTCTGTGTTCAATATACTATAAGATGCTATAGCGGATTATAGCATACTATGACTTACTTGCTTTACAAATACTAGACTAGACTAGACTAGACTAGACAGACTGGACTGGACTGGACTGGACTGGACTGGACTGTACTGCACTGCACTGTACTGTACTGTTCTATAGACTATACTATACTATAACATGCTACATTAGTCTAGAGAAGATGCATACCGTATCATGGATTTCGAGTTCAGGCACTGTTTTGACGCCTTAGGCCGGCCTCCTGGGCATCCCAAACGGCTTCATGAAGGCACCGGAGGCTCGGAGACCGAGGAGCTCTGGGAGCGATGCTGACGATGTTATGATGGTCATTGTTATTGTTGTTGTCGTTGTTGTTGTGGTGGTTGTTGTGGTTGTCGTTGTCGTGGTCGTGGTCGCGGTCGTCGTCGTCGCCGTCGTGGTGGTCGTTGTCGTGGTCGTGATTGTCGTTGTGGTTGTTGTTGTGGATGCTATTGTGGTTGTTGTGGTGGTTGTTGTTGTTGTTGTTGTTGTTGTTGCTGCTGCTGCTGTTGTTGGAAGTATATGCTGCTAATAAGAATAGCAACATGATTACAATCTTAGTGCAGGATTATGGGGAACAAAATCCGCATCATCTCCTTCCCAGGGCCAGAAGGAGAAGAAGCTAGCGGCAGAAATTGCCAACGGACGCCTGGCGATGATGGTCCCAGCCTCGGTGTCCAATGTTGCAAGGGATGCAAGGGGGTTTGGCGGGGAGAAGTTTTGACAGATTCAGGGATAGGAGAACCCCACCGCCACCACCACCAGCAGTATGACCATCACCATCATCGCCAGATTCACCATCATCATCAGGACCTCGCCATCATCGGCATCGTCACCATCACCGTCCATCATCCTTATCGTCAGTTTCTCCTGCTCCTCCTTCCTTTTCCAATCTGACGACCCCCTACATCCCAGGACCTGTCCTCAGCCCCCAAAGCCCTCAGGCAATCATCGGCATGTTCTTCCAGAACGGCCTCACCGGCCAGGCTTGGGGTGACTGGCTGGGGGACCCAGACTTCCCATTCAGCCGGGTCCAGGTTTCGAGTTTTCAAGGCTGAGGCGAGGTGCAGGGCTTGATCCCGTCCTAGCATTTCTTTTTTCGGGACTGTCCTGTGGGGAGCCAAAGGCGTCAGTGTCATAACACCAAGAGTTGACTCTAACAGCGTCTCTTCAGGTCCCTGTACACCGACTCCCCTCTCCGTGCCTTCGAGACTGAGCTGGGCGTGCAGGCCTTCAGCTGTGCGGCGCAAGTAAGATGCAATGGCAAGCAGGGGCTACAGGGTTAAAGCGGCTGCATAGGTCCAGTGAAACGTTTGAGTCCAGCGAGGTTTATTCAGGGTTTCCGCGGTTGCGGAATTCGGAATTCTGGCAGTTGAAGCTTTCAGGGCTTCGGGGTTTCTAGTTGTTCCTTCAGTGATGGCCCTGAAGCCCCAAGCTTCGAACACCCGAAGCATCAACTCCCGGCAAACAATCGACTGCGCCGCGATCGCCAGCCTCCTGCTGGATTTTGGGATCCGCTCGGCTTCACGAAAGGCCGGAAGAGCAAGCCTTGAGGGAGGTAATCTTGCAGGTGTAACCCCAAGTTCAAGGATTGATGAGGAGCTCGGCTCGTAGCTTTTGGATTCGGAGATCTTGCGGGCTTGGATCTCAGCCCTGCGAGGCGGTGATGCCGCATCCTTCCGCCGCCGCCGCTATGTGGAATTGAAGCCTGGAGCTCAGAGTCCACCCTGACACTGCAATGACGAAAGATGCTGCCACAAAAACTACGACATCAGCAACAAGAGGGACAACAACTACAATTACTACCGCAGTACTACAATGCTACAGTGTTACAGCATGAGCAGTACGGCGCGACTACAGCACTACTGCATGACTACAGCACTGCCACAACACAACGCAGCGCGACAGTACGGCACCGACTGCTGCTCCTGCTCCTCCTCCTCCTCCCTGCCACTGCCACTGCCTGTGCTATATAGCGGCTGCTACTGCTTCCGAAGCTTATTCGCGTTGGCTCGAGATCACCATAGCAATAGTAGAGCAAGTGCTAATGCCAATGCAGAGACAGTACCAGCAAACAAGTGCTTGTTGCTGTCAGCACAGCATTGCTACACTGCAGGGAGGAGGGCTTCGCGACTTAAGGGTTCAGAGGAGTAATCCTATGTGCGACCCCTAGCTCACTTGGCCCACACCTGATCATCGTGTTTTGAAGGCCATTAAGCGTTAAAAGTTGGGCTTTTCGGCGAATCGGAGGTATTTTGGTGTTCGGATGCAAAGTCACGTCCCGGATAAAGGCACGGCCGTGTGGCCATGCTGGCTTGCCGGGGCCCCGGCTCGGCGGGTCGGGGTTCGGGGCTGAGTGTCGCTCAAAAGCCCTCCTTATTTTATGTTTTTTTCTCATCCCTTCGGCTTTTGGAAGTCTGATGCCGGGTACTGCGAGTGTTTCGCGTTGGGCCGTTGGCTTTTTGGGGCTCATGGTTGACAGACATCTTGGGTTTGGAGCTTTTGAGTTCATGCAAAGGCTTGGGGTTGCATATGACTCCAGGATTTCCGGGTGTGGTGTGGGCTTCAGGGCAAGAAGGGCTTTTGTGGTCTTGAAGGGTCTGCCAGTGGGGCGTATGCGTGTGTTTGTACATGTTTTCCATGCTCATGATGGTCATGATGATGATGATCAAGAAGATGAGGAAGATGGTGAACATGAAGATGAGGAGGAAGATGATGATGATGATGATGACGATGATGATAGTCGTCATGATGATGGTGGTCCTCATTACGGCATTCATGCTACCTGTTGTCATAGCTTATCCTCGATACAGCAATAGTGATGATGAGAACAACAACATCAAACACTATTGAGGGTGCTGACTGTCGTACAAGTAGAAGTGGTAAGCGGATGGTGTGGTGCGATACTGCTATGCCAAACAGCAGCAGCAGCAACTGCCGCGGCAGCGACAGCAGCCAACGCTGACTCGGTGGGGCTCTTTGGTCGATTTAGATTTGGTGAGTGTCATTTTCGCAACTTAGCTTGGGGATTATTGTTGGATGAGTGCATTGACGTGAGGCACTGTGCTGGAATCCTTAGATGCAAGCCGCTCTAGCCGAGATCCTTGAGGCATGGGATACATCGTGCCGGAGTATTACCGCTGGCCTGGTGATCTCTCGTCCGCGTCTCTGAGGTGTAGGGATGTGTAGAGTAGTGAGAATTCCAGGGCTCTCGGGTTTGAAGGCCGTGACTTGAACCTGCAATCCGGACCTAGACCTAGACTTCTAACGCCGCAAAGGGTCGCCCCAAAAACACCCGGACGAGCGCCTGTGGAGCTCGGAGCGGAATGCCTCAGAGCTCGGGCTCACCGCGGAGGCCTGAGACTTCCCTTGACGGTATTTTTTTTAGAAGCCCAGCAGAAATTTGAACCCCATTCTTTTGGTTCACGATTGCTCGTGACATCATCACCTTTGCAAGCACCATGTGCATCATTACCAGTTTTGCGGTATGACTGTTGCAACTGAGACCAGGCCTTCCTTGGGCTTGAAGTTCACGGATGTGCCCACCGGCTTCGCTGCTTTCAGCAAGGCCATGGCTTCAGGGTTCCCGCTATTGGGGTCGGATTGAAGGTACAAATATATGCTGTTCCGGTGTTCGCATGGGTCGGTGTGGAGCTGGTTGAAGGCTTCCATTCCAGCAATTGGTTTACCATGGTAAGGGAGACGATAATAATCGAAGCCTTGCTGCCTCAATGCCTGCCCTCTCCATCGAATGCAGGTGCCTCTCTCTGGCTGGGTCGGAGAGCCCAGCATGCGGGATTTGCGTTTTATGATGTTGGAAAGTCTCAAAGGTTGAAGCTCTTGGTGCCATGATCCTTGACACTTCGGGGCACTGATTTGGTGTTCTGAAACCTGGGGAACCCGGGGCTGTTTTCGTAGCGGCCACGTCAACCTTCTCAACATGCCAAGTTGCCAAGCGCATGGCACCCGAACAGCTGCTAGGCCCAGATGGTGGCTTTCGCTGGATCCGTCGAGCTCTTCCAGTATGTTGATGACTACCCGGCGAAGCTTGGGAAGGTGTAAGGCCGTGCAAGATCTTCTGAAGACATGGGCTTCAATCCAGGCACCAGGAAATGTTGGGATGCGACCGTTCGAAGTCTAGCGGGCGTGTTTTGGGAAGCCACCCTTCGCTGCCAGGATCCCAAGAGGGCTCCGGGCGACTTCGAGAATGCCGGGAAGGGAAAGGGGTGGGTGGGCTTAGACTTGCATGGCTTGGCCTTAGTTCTTCGAGCCTTTGGGTTTTCGGCATCTGGTTGTCAGGCCTAGAAGGGTGTTCTCAGTGTCATTAGAGGCTTCTAAGTGTCTTGTGCAGAGCAGCCCCCACCTACAAGCTGCTGTCGTCGGAGGTTAGGAGGCATCGGTTTGCGTTTCGGATCTGATCGTGCAGAGCTTTTGATCGGCCCACGAGGCCCTAAAAAACGCTCGAAGAGGCCCCAAGAGATCCCCCGAAATCTCTGCAGGCTGGACTTCTGGGCATCCCCAATGGCTTCATGAAGGCACCCGAGGCCGGCGCCGGTGGAGGGTTCCAAGCCCGAAAGCACAAGGCAGAGAGGAGAGTCCTGCAGCAGCTTCCCCGATGTGCACATGGCTGTTGCTGTAGGAGGCTCGCATGCAGGCTGAAGTTGACATTGTGTGTCGCAATGTGGCTCAGCCGAGGCATCCTCTTGTAGAAATTCTAGTTCAGCTTTACCGACGTAATTTTGAGCAGCTTCAATTTGGGCAGTTTGGCCCCACCAAGCATCTGCTAATCTCCATGTCCTAGAACTCAAGCAGCTAGAGTCTGAGTCTGACAGAAGTTGAGGAATCGCAACACTAGCTCACGCAGACTCGACTCCAAGACAGAGCACTAGGAAAAGCTGTGAACGTAAGCTGCAGCATGCAGCAAGCAGCGCTGCCGATGCAGCCAATGTTTCTCCGATCTGGGCGCGAGGAAAGCTTCGCGTCGCCACTCCCGCCCATGTTTTCTCACACATACGGTGTACCAGCCACAGGGGCAGCCGCACAGGCCCCGGTGGCACGTGATGTGCAACTGCAGCTCCATACCGGCATGGTCGTTTTCGACATGGAGTGCATTCACAACCAGCACGCGGAATCGTCGAAACTTCCAACCAGTGGGAATGGAAGGAACACTGCCAAATAATTGAATTTGCAGGCATAGACATAATCACCGGTGAAAGCTTCAGTGTGCGGTGCCGACCTCACTTCAGCTGGCAGGACGTGAAGTCCCATGCAGCACGCCGCTTTGCAGAGGATCACGGTCATCGCGAAATCATTGAGGATGTGGGCTTGCCGTACTTCGAGGAGATATGGCACTCCGAGCTAGTCAGCTAGTCCCATTCCTGCAGCGTGCCTCTGGGGGAACAGGGAACGTCGTGCTCCTTGCTCACAACGGGGCAGCATTCGACGAGTTTGTGTTGAAGAAAGAGATCGCCCGTCTTCAGCTGGACATGTCTTGCTGCCCAACCTTGATGAATGCGGACCCGGTGGCCGCGGTTAAGCACAATTACCACAATGCAGCAGTGGCCGCGGAGTATCGGGGCCGACACATGAGCCTAGCCCTGGCAGATATGCATCAGAGGTATGTCAGCCATTCGAATCGAGTATTCCAGCAACATCAGGCACTGGACGACTGCCGAATGCTCATGGAAGTGCTTTGCCATGCTCCGTACGTGGCAGATGCCTTGGCCGCCCACATCTGCTACATGATTGGCCTTCAGGTGCCGGACCTTGCCAGCATGCTGCGCAATCGATTGCAAAGCCCGCTGAACGTTCGGGACCCGCTTCCGGCTCCACGCATATTGGAGCACTGTGGAAAGCGGTACTTGTTGAAAACTATGCCATTCCTTCCGCTACCGCCCTTGTGTGTCCCAATGCCAGTGCCCATGCCAGGTGCTGCACCAACAGGGTCGCTTGCGCCCCCACCACCTCCCACACCAGCCCCAGAAAGCACCATGATGCCACCACCGTCGCCTCCGATTGTGCCGTCCACGGTTTCCCAGGCGTCGAGCCCACCATCTTCGCCGCCGGCATTTGCTCCGGCCACGCCGCCGATGGTACCGGAAGCGCTTCCGGCTCAGGTTCGAACCATTTCGGATGTGGAGGAAGACTTCAAGATGAACAAGCAAGAGGATCCGAAGGAGAAGCAAAAGAAGAAGAATCGTGCGGGCTGGTGGGACCACACTTGGGACTACCATGCACCTGACTGGTGGGCCTGGTCTCAATACGATGGAGGAGACTGGCACTATCAATCCTATAGAAAAGGAGGCTACCAGTCTTCGGGAAAGGGCCACCACAGAGGCAGAGGTGCCAAAGGCAGAGGTGGGAAGAGCAAGGCCCAAGGCGGCAAAGCGGCCGCCTCTTCGGTGGCTGCAGCTCCTGCTACGTGGCAGCCCACTGGTGCCGAGAGCTCCGCAAAGGCCTTCGAGTTCCAGTGAGCGGGCTGATTTGTGGGTCTCTGTCCGTGGTTCGCGTGGGTTCGTAGAAGTGGTCTGGGCCTTCTCCTTTTTCGGCCTCTCGCTGCATCATCTGCATCTCATTGGGAGAGTCTCGAGACAGTTGCCCTGGATGACCCACGGAGAACGGCGGAAGTTGACCGTGTCTCACCGTTGTATCTATCCTTGCCTAATATGACCAAGTGTGAGTGTGAGTGTCCAAGATGTCGTGCCACAAGGCTGCCGTGCACGGTTCGATATTATGTCTTGAGCATGAATGTGAGGCAGTCATGGATTGTATCCCTGCTCATTTGCAGACTTGCTGTGACCGGGGGTTAGCTGTGCAGGGCCAGAAGGAGAAGAAGCTAGCGGCAGAAATTGCCAACGGACGCCTGGCGATGATGGTCCCAGCCTCGGTGTCCAATGTTGCAAGGGGGGTTTGGCGGGGATAAGTTTTGACAGATTCAGGGATAGGAGAACCCCACCGCCACCACCACCAGCAGCATGACCATCACCATCATCGCCAGATTCACCATCATCATCAGAACCTCGCCATCATCAGCATCGTCACCATCACCGTCCATCATCGTTATCGTCAGTTTCTCCTGCTCCTCCTTCCTTTTCCAATCTGACGACCCCTACATCCCAGGACCTGTCCTCAGCCCCCAAAGCCCCCAGGCAATCATCGGCATGTTCTTCCAGAACGGCCTCACCGGCCAGGCTTGGGGCGACTGGTCTTGCCCTGAGGCGAGCTAGTGTCTTTCATCTTCATCTTTGCCTCCTCTAGCTGCTCATGATACGAACAAGCCTATCAGCAGTTATTAGCAGATCATTTACAACATTAGCCGGCGCGATGTCATTCTTTGACCGAGTACTCGTGATGAGGCATCCTGTACCCTAAACCCTGCATCCTTTTGAAGTGCTTCCTCTGCAGGTTATCTTGGGGAGGACATCCTCCTTAATTTTTATGCCCGAGGACTCCTGAGTCATTTGAAAAGCAGGATCTCGGTTTTACGTCAAGCTACTCACCCAAGACGCTGCTCGTGGATGGGGCGGGTGGCCCGTCTGCTTAGCCCAGGTCTCTCTACACGGACTCGCCTCTGCGTGCCCTCACCGCGGCTCAGGCAGGCCAAGATGTTTCGGAGTTTAGAAGGTCAGGTGTGTCCCCCAAGGCCGCAAAAAGACGCAGTCCCCAAGCCACCCAACACCCAAGCCTCCAGTTCAGGAGCTGATCGCCGGCACCGGCGGCCCTCTGCCCAACGACTTCTGGGATCCGGCGCAGGGCCCAGCACAGCTTTAGATGTAAGCGTATGATCTTAATGTTATATTATTTTCCTTTCTTGTTGCGATATGTTATATGCACTACGCTATATTACACCTGATACTATTCCGTTCTATTCTATAGTGTTCCATTCCGTTCCGCTCTATTCTCCTCTACCCTGTTCTGTTCCACTTTAATTCCGTTCGATTCCATGTCAGAAAGAACGGTACTTTGTTAACACACCATGCATCCGCATCCTGCTAGCCCAGGCTTCGGGGCCTTGGAGGGCTGAGGTCAGGGCTTTCAGTGACCTGACTCAGCCCCGGAATCAGACCACGTCAGAAGACATTTGGAGAATTATGTGGTTTGGAGCCTGATACCGGCAAGCAGACATGGAAAAAGAAGGCTTGTTGTAGCGAATCAAGCCAGGGTCTCCTGCAGCTCCCCGTGATATACGACTCTGCCACACCGGACCCGAAGACGTTTCTCTCGACTTTGCTCCTGTGGATGAGGCCGGACTCTCCACTCGAGTCTCGGAGAAGGACCCGTGAGGGTGGCACAAACTTGCGAGGCCCCACATCCTGCATCGTGTTCTCAAGGAACACGAACGGAAGGTTTTCCGCTTTGAGCGTTCCCCTGCCACACTCGGTCTAGCCTTCGGGGCCGCCGCTGCCGTCATCGGCGAATCGGCGGCATCGCCGTCGAAACGAAGGTGTTGTTGTCGGTGGTGGTGCTGCTCCTGCTGCCGCTGCTGCGCCAGGTGCTGAAGCTAATGTGCTGGAGGTTGCGGTGGATATGGCGGCGTTGGTGGCGGTGGTTGTCGTCGTAAATGATTGCAAGTGAAGGTGGTAGCCCTTTGGTGGTGGCAGTAGAAGAAACGGTTCAGCATTGCCGCCAGCATCATTGCAGCAGCATAATGCTGCCTCACATGGTATTTCTCGCGGGAGTGCTCGGTGCTGGCCGATCCTTCAAGGTCTGAGAAATATTCATGTGCAGTTAAAAGTCGTGTTCCCGAGTATATCTGGCCATATCTGGCTAATGTGTTCTGACCAAGGTTTCGCAGCGCTGTGCAACTGCTGTACCTGGTTACTATGTGGCTTTGTGCCTGTGCTGATGCTGGCGGTAGTTTCAGGCTACGCGTAGGTAAGAGTACCAGTGCCAGCAGTGACGACCGCTTGTGGTAGAGGGGATACTTAAAGGTTCACGGGACTTAGTAACTAGGGTTATAGAGATAAGGTAACTATACGTATAATTATACTTATACTAACTATAACCCCACCTATAGGGTACTTGTAAGTGTACTTAATTTCCCAAGGTAGGAGCAGCAGCGGTAGTCCAGGAGCTCCTGAACTACCGCGCCATGGAGCTGAAGCATGGCCCGGGAGCTCAAGGGCCTGGGCTGGGCTGTCTTTCCTTGGCGAAGTTCCCTCGGCAGGTCCTAGGGTCAAGTTTTGAGCCCTACAGATCTGCCTTTCCCTAACTTGGGAGACCGTCCGTCGGGGTGATGCTTCCACAGATACGTTCCGGAGATTTCTTTGCATCCGATTCTGCGGCGAAGCTTGTTTCTTGCCAAATCAACGGCCTCCGATTGCAGTTGTTGTGGCAGCAGTCACTGTCATTGCCGTCGAAGCCGTAACAGAGGTAGTGCTAATCCTCGCCGCACTACCAAGAACCAGCAGTCGCAGTTTGTGTTGCCTCATCATAAGCACCAGGGGCAGTAGCAAAAAGCCTTGCAGGCCGTGTGGCCATGCTGGCCGTGCTGCACTGGTTCGCACCCAAGCCAGGGATCGTCCGGAAGTGTTTTTTGGAAGGGTCGCAGTTCGTCAGCGCGGGGATTGGGGATTTCACGAAAGCCCGGCTAGCGGTCATGGGATGGATTCTTGTGATTACCTGAACCTGGTAACCTTGCAGATGCTTTGCGGCTTTTAATTTCTTCGAATATTCCAAGAGACATCGAAGCATCGGTGGAGTTGAAAAGGCCGTAAACTTGGCTGTATGTTTCGGCGAGTTTAGCTAGGGTAGTTGGGGGCCCAAGGTATCTGGAATGTAGCTCACCAGCGCTGCCTGTTGGCACGCACAGATTGCATTTTGCTCGATGGCTGTGGCAGTTCATGTGCAGTATTTTGCAAGCACTCTCAAACTGGGATGCCGTGGCAGCCAAACTCCCCGAACCCGCACACGGCCCGTCGGAAGCCACGATCACTACATTGACATCCTTCATGAACACAAGGACCACATCCTTCCAGTTTTGAAAAACCTGCCACTGTTCTCCTTAATGCTTCGGCGCTAGCGTGCTCTAAGCTGCCGTGTGATCCGAAGTCTGTCTCGTGTAGCTCTTGCCACATTATTTCAACGATCCCTGAAGCCTGACATGTCGATTGTCAATCAGTTGGCCTTCCCTAAAGGTTCCACGTGGCCGCCGGCTACCACCTTCTCGGAGACTACGCGGCCACCTGGCTCAGCGTCAACGTCGCTTTGTTTTTCCTAAACAGACCATACGGTCAGGAGAGAGAGCAGGACATGGCACTGCGTGTCATTCCAGCTTTGCTTGAGGTTGAAGCTCTCTCAGGGCATCGGGGCTTCTGAATTTTTGCACCTCAGGTCTTTGGAGGTTCCTGTTGGGGTAAGCCCACAACTCGTATCGCCAACAGCCAAAGAGTCCGTGCAGCCTTTAAGTCCGAGACTCCATGACTATATTGACTATGTCAATGTTGCTTTTGATGTTGGCAGCTCTTCTTCGTCTTCGTGTTGTCGTCATCATCATCATCATCATCTTCATCATCATCTTCATCATCATCATGGCAGCTCCAGACACTGGCTTGCTGCAGATTGGTGAGAAGATGAGCAACGACCCGCTGGTGAGCGTTCGCCTGGCCTGCTCTTGGCCGTCGGTTCGCAGGGGATGAAAGCAAGGTCAGGTGAAGGCTCAAACTGCGAGAGTGAGAGTGAGGTGAGGGGAGAGAGAGTTTGGGGCCCCAATACCAGCCACTCAATAACTCATTGGGAGGTTGGCCTGGCCAAAGGCCTGAGTCGCACCGCGACGCCCTACGCCCAGCAGAAAGACAGAGAGAGAGTGGGAGGTCAGGTAAAGGGGACAGTTTTCTGAAAAGTGATTCATTCATGTCGGGGACCCTTTCTCCCCTGCACTGTTGACTGCAGACCCGAGCTTCCCTATCCAACAGTCTCAGACCTCAGACCAGTGCGTAGCGCGAGAGCGCAGGGAGAAAGGGTTTTCACCCCTCGGCTCGTATGCCATGCAGGCAAGCAAGCAAACAAGCCTGAGAGAGAGAGAGAGAGAGAGAGTTCTCAACGACCACGGATGTTAAGCTCATCCTATGCATGGGGGCTCTTCAACAGGTTTGAGACTGCAAGCTCCCTGGACAGTCCAAAGCGTCGGGGACTTGCACCCCTGTGCGAACACTATAAACCACTGCCCAGGCCCCATCTTTCGGGCCGGCGTATGATCTGTTCCCCCTCTCGCGGCTTATTGCACAGACAGTGAGACCATTGCGCGTGAGCGCGCAGGGTTCTTGGCTGTGTGGAAGAAGAGAGAGAGGGACAGAGAGATTATGTTCTGGTTGATGATGTCTGTGACCTTAGTAGATAGGAGCAAACTGGGGGACCTGCACATACTCACATGATGTCTTGTCCAGACCAGAGAAAGGTACTCTTCACGGTAATGGATCATATATTTTCGTCAAAGTATGTCTCAGGGAAACATTGCACAATCCTCCCAATGCCCCGTAACACATGGGAGGCCTTGGAGGTCAGGGGATTTGACAGATCCCCTATGCCCACTGGAAGAGGGCGAGAAAGAGGGAGGGAGAGTCGATCATGCAACATGCATGCATAGGTGCACCAGCAAGCTTCTGGGCATCTGCTTCTACATCTTCATATGGCATGCTTGCATACATGCAGACGGTTTGACAGCAAGCCTGCGGGCATGTTTGCTTGCTCTCAACTTTGTCTGCTTCTATGTGCCCATGCACTACTACATCCCAACCCAAGCTCGTACTCCTTTGCCGATTGTGCATATATACACTACTAGTAGGGAAGAGAATGCTCCGGCTTCGCCAGCTCACCCAGCTCCCGATGGGCGGCATGTGGCAGGCCAATTGCAGCAAGGTTTTTGTTTCCGCAATTGATAACATGCAGTCGGGAACACGGCGGCCCAGTGCCCTTTCTCTCTTCATACGCGCGTCTTTGCGCAGGTCATCTTTACCATCATGTGCCTGGAGTGGCTGACCACCTACATCTGCAAGCCCCCTGAGGAGCTTCGACGTATGGAGCTTTCGCAGGTCTGATGTTGTACTTGCGTTTTTCTCACCGGGGCATCCTGGAGATTTCGCATTTTTCGTGGTGTGCCTTTCGGGGGGAACCCAGAGGCATGGTTTCAACCATGCCCAGTCCTGCGCCCGCACTTGAGCGTCCCTACCTCGAAGCCCAAGCGCATGCACTCACATGATCTAGGGGCCCCACCTATAGACTTTGGGGCCAGAAGTAAAGCAAAACTCCCTTACTCCCGGCTCTTCCTTGGGGCTCAAGGATCTTGACAATCCTTGTACAGACAAGGTGAAACCTTGTGAGACCCTGTAGCAACCTTCTTAAAATGTAGGGATCCGAACCCTGAGTTGCTCGTAGAAGGCTTTTGCAGCGTAGCGGTCGTGGCTCAGCCACCGCAGCAATGCGAACATGCGTAAGACTGATCAGGCTAGCAGTAAATGTAAGATCACAGGAGAGGAGTAGGAGCAGTAGCAGCAGCTGCTGCTGCCGAGAAAGAATGCTACTGATCGGTTTCTTCCGAAAGCACAGAAGTTGAAGCAGCCATGGTAACGACGACAAACTTGAAAGCTCCTTCCTTTCCAGGACCGCCCTTGGGACGTGCTCGGATGGAAGGCTTGCTTCGGATGCTGCGGTCAGCCTGTGGACAAGTGTGAGTGTCAGGAGTTGCAAGCAGCGCACCTCTGGATCAAGCCAGGGTTTACAGAGACCGGATCTGTGAGACATTCGACTCAAACCCAATCTCCACTCCGGACACCCTGGACACGCCTTGTAGGATGCATGATAGTAATAGTGGCAGGGAGGCCAAGCCAAATCCCCGAGTCTAGTCCCGCCGTGAGGGCATCATCGACGAGGACTACCCTTCCGAGATCTGGAACGGCTGGAAGCGCGTTCAGTGCCAGGCGCCTTTGCGGGGCTCTGGTGGTTCATGGAAAAAAAGGGCAGAGCACCGCAGACGCTGGCACGTTGTGATCTGAGACATCCTGGAAGCCGCGTCAGGAAGTGAACAACGGCCGTCTGGCCGGGCCCTTTCGACTTCCATGGCATGGGCGTTTAGTGTTTGTTGGACCCTGAATGTCTCCAGAAGGTTCCGTCACCTAGACGGAAAGGCTCGCACACTTACAGGAGGCGCAGAGAGGTGCAGCGTTGAGTACGTACTGTTCTCTCACACGTTTATGCTGGGATTCTCCAGCTTGTCGGATCTGTGCCTGTTGGATCAATCGGACGCCATGTATGAAAGCGAAAGCCATACAAAGAGACCAAGGCCATGATGGCCATCACCGGCCTGATCGCGCAGGAGAAGTGCTGTGCTTTTTGACCCGCCTCTAACTTCTGCACCCCCTGAGCCTTCAACGCCTGAATCGGAAAGCGCAAGAGTCGCCAACAGCCTGCGCTGCGCTAGGTCCTAGGTGTCTTCTGGCCCGGGTTTCCAGCTTTTGATTTGGTCACGAAGGTGTCAGTGAAAGTACAAAATTAAAAGCCAAAAGCCGAGTCCGTCAGCCATGGACTTCTTAGAGTAAACAGCTGTTAGGCCGGCCTCAAGGATAGCACAGAAATGCAGTAATTTAGGAACAGTAGGAATTCGAATGGGATTTCGGATTGGGCTTTTCATAGGGGTAGGTTTCGGAATGCGATTTAAATAGGCACTAGATTCAACTAGAATGTGAATTCCCGGAGGAGTCGGATTTAGCAATTGGATTTAAGATGATTTAAGTATACTTGGAAACGCCGCCTACATTGGCCTACATGCTCGTCAGTATGTAATACCCAGCGACGCGAGTGGCGACGGAAAGACGCCGCTGCGACGTAAGGACACCCCGCGCCCACCCGCCCCGCCCCGCCCTCTCGTTGCACCCCGAGGAATGAGCAGGAACAGAAATAGGAAACGCAGGAATTCAATGCCCCCCTCGCCCATCCCCTGCGGCGCCCTCCGCTCTGCGGAGAGCCTTAAAGGGCGATGCCCAGAGCACCGTGCTTTCTGCATGTTCCGTTTATGCCGCTCTGCTTTTGTAAGCCGACCGTCTTTGGAATGAACATATCGTCCAACACGTGTAGCGGATGTGCTTATGTTGTGAATTCCACTGTAGTTCGAACCGTCGTGCATTGATTGAGACTGTCTTGTTGAGCTACGGATGACATCGTACTTGGATGCCAGCGCATGAGGGGCATATGGATGTATTGAGCTCCGAGAAATCATCATTATCATCATGATCATCACCATCGCCATTATCGTAAATATATTCATGGTCGTTGTCATGATCATGTCCATGGTCATCAGCATCATCAGCATCATCAGCATCATCAGCATCAGCATTAGCGGCAATAACATGATCATTCCTTTGTTCCAAAATTCAGCAGAGTGGTAGCGACGATCAAATGCACTCATCAGCCCGAAGGGAGAGACTCACCTCAGGACGTCGTGACTGGTGACTACTTTGAGGGTGTTGGCGCTTTGCCTGAATATGGGTTCAGTCTCAGGACATGACTGCAAACATGCGCATTTTACAACATCGTGAGAGTGATGAGCACAGTCACCGGCGTAATGGCTTTGCGGCGAGAAACATGACAAAGGTGTGGAGCGTTTGAGGTCCCGTTAGCATCCTTCCAGGGATGAACTCTGCTCTGAGGCAAGAGGGATTAGCACAGAGTTCGTCATGTTTCTGTTCATTTACGGCGTATCGTTACTCTTTGCAATACTATAGTTATAATAAGGAAGCCCCCAAACAAGTATAGGTAATTATTTAGGCTCCTACATCCTCAGTCATCCTTGAACCTCGCAGTCGGCATCTTTTTTGCATAGACTTCGGCGAGTTCGAAGCACATCCTCTACCTCTAGAAGCCAAAGTGTCACTCTTTGATGCTTACTCATCCAGCTGACCTCTGCCGGTCAGATTGTAGAAGTTAGACCCTTGAGCTGTACATCCAGGCGGAATTGGAGAATGAGACGCATGCAAGTGTTGGAAGAGAGCCCTCTGTCAACATCAGAATCGATATGCGGGGTTTTTCGTTTCGAGAGCCCAAGTGCGCGGCGGAAACCTCCCATCTCTTTTGGAAGCCTCGCCCTGAAGCATAACAGACCCTCTGAAGTGCGAACCGGCCGCTTCAATGCACCCGCCCTATTCACCACAAACCCCTGAAGCCCCTTAAAGCCCTAAGCAAGGCAAGCTGTGCTTCGGCTCAGATCTCTGCAAGGCAGTGCCCCCGGGATCTTGGTGTCGGCCGTAAGTTGGGTTTTAGGCACCTGGATGCTTGGGATTTGGGCTGTGGGCTGAACCCCAAACTCCCTGACCCGAGCCAAGTGAATGTCTCGGGGTTTAGCGTCGAACGCAGGCGTTCTGCGAGCCCCGCTCATCCCTTGTTTGTGGCCTGTGCGTGTTTAGGACACGATGTCCTACGAAGAGGTGGCAGCGGCGTTGGTTGCCACGGGCTTAGCGCACCCGGAATTGATTTGGAGCATGTCGCCTGCAGTGCTACGTACGAGTTGATGTCTCAACCCTGCGCCCCTGTAAATTTGCTGTACGAGCAACCCGACAAATCGCCAACCGTGGCGGAGTTGGTTAGGACTTTCCTGACGATGTTCGGAGACCAATGCTGTAGGCCAGGTCAGATCAGCATTCGAGGCGTTGTCATGCCTTGTCGTCGTCGTCGTCGTCGTCGTCGTCACTATGATGCAGAATCAAGTCGTTCTCAGTCGCCTGTTTCGTTGCCACCCCCATCCGCAGGGTCTTCGTGGAGGTCATCACCAGTACCATCACCGTCTCACCGTGACGGTCAGCAATGTCAGCCCATGTCCATCTTCATGGCGCAAGGAAGCAGACATGGGTCTTTGTAATGATCTTCCCTTCTGTCCACACCGTGCCGCTGCCCACGGAATCCCGTCTTCGGGCTATTTATTCAGTTTTATTCTGACATCCCCCAGGCTGAACCTTAGATGTCGTAGGCCCTTCAGGCCTGAGCCTGAGCATGCTCTTAAGACCTGCTGGCGCCTGCCAAGAACCTGCCACCGCCCCTCCCCGGCACTGGCAACCTCTGCCTGGCACTCGGAGCTCGGAGCCATCGCTTGGGGGTGAAAGGCTCCGGTTCTCGGGAAGAGCTGGGTGCTTTGGGTACTTGAGATGCAGTGTTCCGGGTTTCAAGTGGGGTGTCGCGATGCTTTTCGGGCTCCAAAGGAACAGGATGTAACAAGGGCGAGTCTATGGCGTGGGCGTAGCAGCCGGGGGTGTTGATTCTGCATGTCCTTTATGCCAAACAGCTTCTTCTGGTTTGGCGAGAAAGTGTGCTTTGCTTGGATACTGGTATCTACCGTCACGGCATGTCGGAGACTTGTGGCTTGCGGGGCTTCGGCCAAGCGACCGAGCGGCTGAGCGAACCCTCGCCACTAAGGAGGAGAGCCGGGTAGCAGGAAAGGCGCTCAGAGTGCGTAGCGAGCAGACATCGAAGGAATGAGCCCCCCCATCATCCTGCGGCCTCAAGGGCCTCAGATATATTTAGGGCCTAGGACTCGTGCCAGTCCCTATCGTTCGGAGCACTCAGATCGAGGGCGTGCTTGCAATCACTCGGACAAGTTAAGAACACCTTTCGGGGACGGGGCCTTCCATGTCTGCTCTCTTAGAGAGCTCCCCCTCACGCCAAGAGGTGAGCAATTTGAAAGCAGCCGCTCTGCAGGACCAATGACCTCACCCCTCAAGCCCTCAACCCACTCTAAGCCCAGACCCTCCCAAGCTCCATATCCCCTCGGGGTTCTATGGAAGGGGGGGCTGCCTTGAAGAACCGTGGCCAGAGAAATTTTTGAAGAGCCCTAGTTCCAGGCAGCTTTTATCCGAAGATTCTGCACACCCGAAAGGGTGAATGCTTTTGGCCCAAAAGAATCATGGTTCTGCGCAGTTTCTCAGCCTTTTGCCTCTCATCCCAGCACCAGTCCCGGGCCAGCACGACGGCTTGTTTTGAGTGTGCCGTCCAGAGTTTGAACATACATGTGAGCCGCTCAACTTAAGGACGTAATGCTACAAGCTATCGGAAGCTTCTGCGTTTCGGAACTCAGGGTGAACTCAGCTCCCTGCACTCGATGCGGCGCGCTGCGCTGAACATTTTACCGATTGGAATCCTAGAGCAACTCCCTGTGTTCTTGGAGCAGATAATGCAGGGCCCTACCTTCATCGCTGCCACTGGACTGGAAGAGGTCAGGTTGTGTGGCATACCTTGCTACAATCAAAATCAAACGTGGATGCCAGACACACCAGCATCTTGCGAATTGTTGAGTGTGCGTGTTGCAAATGCTCAGGAGGTTGAGCATATGCCCCTGCATCTTGACAGTTTAATGTGGATGACCCTTTCAACAATGCTCCGACGCCGCAGCTCGTGTGAGCACTCGAGGGCGTTGCCGCCCTATCAGGACGAGCCCATCTCTGAGCACATCACTCTGTGACTCCTAGTAGGTCCTAGCCTGAAGCCCAATGTTGCTGAATTCCCAAGTCCAGTAGTAGTAGCAGAAGTGGTAGCAGCAGTAGCCGTCAACAACAACATGTTGATCAATCATGGGCCTCCCCATCATCTCCCCCTAGCCGTCGGCCCTAGATCCATCCACGTATGCGTGCTGTGGCCACTCTAAATAGTAGTCTGGTACTTTTATCGTTACTCTTGACACCCTAACCACAAGTCTAAAATCCAGCTACCATGCAGCTTCAACTCAAAGAGCCAGTGGCGACATGCAAAATGGAAGCCATGGCAGCTGGATTCCGGCCATCACACTCAGCTCGGAAGCCCAGATTCTTACCGCAGCCTTAGTCACGCTCGGAGCTCTGGTGTCAATCCATCATCCTTGGGCCAGCTTGATCTGCGTGGCATGCCTGCACAGTGGTGGTTCCGCATCCCTTCACCTTCTAAGCGACAGACATAGCCAGTGCATCAAAGCTGTGAGGCAGTCCAAAGTCAGCAGAAACCCCGAAGATTGAGCCCTGCGCTTTTGGTGGCAGGCACTATCCGGGATGCCATACGGCTCCCACCGGACCGGCTGCGGGATGGGACACACACAGAGAGCACGCTACACGGATGTTCGCGCACCTATACACATGTTTCCAACCCTGAAATGACTGGCCCGGGCGACCGTGAGCTTGTCGTTCTTTGGCTGGATGTAGAACATGACATTCCACCGCACTTTTCGTGAATTGGGTCCGGTCCACCACTTGCAGCTTGCAGGTACAAGAGTTTCCGTGCATGAATACCCACGGCTTAGTTGGCGTGGCAGGGTATTCACTGCCACGCCTTACGCCTCCTGCATGTATATATACTTAACGACCA